CCCTCCCCCCCCCCCCCCCCCCCCCCCCCCCCGCCCCATCCGTGCGCGCTGCCCCCTCACAGCGCGGCCATGAAGGCGACGCCGCTCTCCAACTGCGAGCGGCGCTTCCTCCTGCGCGCCATCCAGGAGAAGAAGGTGCGGCGCCAGCATCCCTCTCCCTGCCCTTTTCCCCATCCCTTTCCCCTTCCCCGTCGCCCAGGGGAGCGCGGCTGTCCCCGGGAGCCGCCCGCCCGCCCCCTTTCCCCCCGCGGTCCCATCTCATGGCGGGCATGGCGCACTAACCCTCTCCATGTATGTGTCCGTGTGTTCCCGCAGCGCCTGGACGGGAGGCAATGCTACGACTACCGGAACATCCGCGTCTCCTTCGGCGCCGACCGCGGCTGCTGCATCGTGGAGCTGGGCAGGACCAGGTGGGCGCGGGGGCTCGGCCGCGGGGCCCGGGTTAAATGTAAAACCTGAGGAACCCGAGCCTGCAGAGATCTCTGTAAACAGATTTTAACCTTTCAAGCCTTAAAGTCGTAGTATTTCAAGGGTAGGAGCAAAGAGGAGGAGATGGAAAGGAAGGAAGCGGGAAAGGGATGGGGTTTCCGCGATGATTGTAGTTACAAGTAATTTATAAAATGCAAAATTGTTCCCAAGTTTTCATCCCTTTGTTCACTGATTTCGCATTTTGCATTCTTCCCCAAACCAAACGACCCTTTTTTGTCTGTGTTTTTGCCTGTATTATGCACTTACATAAACATTTCATTACAGTTTCTCACGTGTTCGAGTCAATTTTTTGCCTTAAAAGACAAGAGTATGTCCTAGTTCTTAAATCTGGTTCTTCCAGTTGTTAACCAGAGTTTAAATATGTATGACAGGCGTTGAACAAGAAACTGTCAGGAGTGAGAATTACAAACTAAAACCCTAACCACATGCTTTTTCCCCCAAGTATGTGTTTTGTTACTAGATTTTCCCTGGTACATTCTGTGACTTGGTGCTTTATTTGCCCTGGCAGGGTTCTTGCACAGGTCTCGTGTGAACTCGTTCCCCCTAAGCCAAACAGGCCCACGGAAGGTGTGCTCTTCTTTAATCTGGAGCTCTCACCCATGGCTGCACCTGGGCTGGAGCCTGGCAGGTAATGAATGTCTTAAAAGGACTAAACAAGGATGGGATAAAAGCCATGGTAATCATGTTAAGTTTGGATTAATTTTGTTCCAACAGACAATCCGAGTTACTGGTGTCACTGAACAGACTATTGGAACGATGCCTCAGAGATTCCAAATGCATTGACACTGAATCTCTCTGCGTTGTTGCTGGTGAAAAGGTAGGGAAACTTCTGAATTGCTGGTGGGTCTAAACTAAAAGATACGTGTTGTCCAGTTTTAAGTTGGTCCCTGTCTTGTGTTGGATAGTAGAAGTGCTGATTTTAGGTTAATGTGAAGATCCACTCATCTGATTTGAGAGGTATTTTTACCTTGCATGTCTACATAGGCTTTCTGAAGTAGCTGGGACCCTACAGAATGATGTTTAAACTGTGCTGAAGTGCTACATATTTTGTCATAATTAAATCTGGCACAGGGGGTATCTTGAAATATACCAAGAGCTCTCATCTTCTTAATCAAAGACCTAAGGAATATATGCTGGTTCTTTTTCTGGTTAAAAAAAAACAAAAACAAAAACAAACTAGTTTTGAAAAATAAAATTTGCTTCTGTAGAATCAAGCAATTTTGTATTTTTTTCTATTTTTCTCAGGTTTGGCAAATTCGGCTGGACATGCACCTGTTAAACCACGATGGCAACATCACTGATGCTGCCAGCATAGCAGGGATTGTAGCTCTGTGTCATTTCCGCAGGCCAGATGTGTCTGTGCAAGGAGAGGAAACAACTGTGGTAAGTTGCTTGTTTTGTTTTTGTTTTTTTTTTTCAATTTCCTTAAATTTCTTTGTCGTTTTAAAATCAAACGAGTTTCATAAATAACTGTATTCTGGGCCAATTCCTTTCAAAGTACACTCCTGAGGAACGTGATCCTGTCCCCTTGAGTATCCACCACATGCCCATTTGTGTCAGTTTTGCCTTCTTCCATCAAGGGTAAGATTTTGAGGTCTTATGTACCCATATAAGGAGTATAAATCTTGTATACTCATAGTAATTAATATGCAAGCCAACACCTTTGATTAATTGTGTTTAAGGGTAGTAAATGCCTCGAATTTCTACTGTTGCCTCATATTTCAAACCTTGATTCTAGGACCTATTTATTGGTGGATCCAACTGAACGTGAGGAGCGGGTGATGGATGGGCTCCTTGTAATTGCCATGAATAAACACCATGAAATTTGTACCATCCAGTCCAGTGGAGTGGTCATGCTGCTGCAGGATCAGGTAAACCTTAGCCTGGACCAGTCCTTCTGCCGTGTATAAACTGGTTCCTGTGCTGCAGTCCTGATGTGGGAATATCCATGACATTTGGAAGCTGAGAAATCAAGGAACTGTCTGGTTTTATTGGAAAAGATGATGTATTTTTTGTCTTAGTGGAAGAGCATGGCACTGTGTACCATGCTGCAGAAGGGATGTAGAAAATGCATCGTTTTTGGTCAGATCTGCATCTTTTTATTTTCCTTGTGATTCAGCTGAAAAAGCTTGCAAATTATTTCCAGTGGCACTCTGGAGGCTGTTAACTTTTTGCCGAAGTCTCAGTGAATCCCTCTTGCTAAGGTGCCATATTTTAAGTGTTTGAAATTCCTGTGATTTAAATGCTTGTGATTCTTATGATGCTCTACAGTTTCAGTTAAAAACTTCTTGCTTTCCTGTTTTTTGTATGTGTAACAAACAGATTCTGAGATGCACTAAAATAACAGCTGTTAAGGTGGGAGAAATAACAGAACTGATTCAGAAAGCCTTGGAAAACGACCAAAAAGCCAGGTGAGTGTTCTGGGAAGGGATGGAAATGGGGGTTTTTAAGAAATGTAGTAAAAAAAGTAATGTCAGCTTGTCCTTTTAGCAGCAAATTGTCTTCACTTATATGTTTTAAATAGCAAGCATTTGTCTATTTGAACTTGGAAAGAGAAATAGTTTTTGGGTTGAAATAATGTCTGTTGCTGAATGAGCAGGAAAGAAGGCGGGAAGTTCGGCTTTGCGGAATCCATCCCCAACCAAAGGATCACTGCCTTCAAAATGGAGAGTGCTCCTGTGGACACCAACGATGTGGAAGAACAGGCTGGAGAAATCATTGCTAAAGCTGACCCTCCTTCAGAAGTGTATCTTTTCCAGGGTAATACTCTGGGGGAAACCAGGCTAAACACACATCTAAAATTCCTCATAGCTTAGGTAGCCATATAACCCTGAGAGGAAACATCATCATCCTGGTTTTGGTTCAGTCTGCTTTTAATTCCTTGCCTAAAAGTGCAAAGCTGGGGTCAGAACTGTGATTATTACAGTGACTGGAGAAGTGGCACTCTGAAGTCCCCTTTAGGGCTGTTCTCCCATGGCTTATAAACCACCTGGTTTGCTCTCAGAATACAAAGAATTTTACCAGCAAACACCAAGGATTTTCTTAACTCCTGCAGTTTTGCCAATCCAGTATTGCACACTCCTGGTACAGCCCAAATTGGGGAAGGAATAGAGAGCTCCTGGGGAGACCTTGAAGAATCTGAAAAGGAAGAAGCAGCGGAAGAGGAAGATGAAAGTGAGGCAGCTGCTTTTGAATGTGAGAAAGTAGAAACTGAGGGTACAAGTACACTGAGGGAAACTAAGAGTGGTAAGTATTTGTTTATCTTAATATCAGATCTTATTATATCACTTTATCAACAGTTCAGAATTAAAATGTGAAAGGTCCTTAGGAAGAAAGAACCACTGTAGCCACTTTGCACATTTGCTAATTCCACTTGACTTGGTCAGTTATTTTCAAAACTCGAATTCTGTAGTATAGGGAGGGTTCCAAATGAATCAGTAACCCCTCTGAATATTTCTTTAGAAATGCTGTGGTTATTATTTACGGGGGTTGCTTGTACAAAACTGATCAGCAGTTTGGGCTTGGTGGGGTTGTGTTTTGTTTTTTTAGATGAACCCGTTGTGCTGTCTGACAGCGAGGAGGAAGAAGTTGTCATTCTGGAACCACAGGAACTACCAAGGAAGACAAGGTAACCAGCAAGTGGATTTACGAAGGGAGTTTGTAAGAAGTATCACCAGGAAGGAGAGGATTTTGGCAAGGCCAAGAAAGGTTTCAGTTGATCAAAGGGAATACTAATATAGCTTAAATCTAGGCTAAAGCTCTGGCTTTCAGGCGTGGTGGGCCTGCAGCTGTCTGAGATAGTTTTAGGTATTTGACTCATTTTAGTCCTTCCAGAGGGAAAGAGAGCATAAAAGTGGATCTCAATCAGTGGCTCCTTAGAGCTGCTGCAGAGATTCTGTGTGCCACCCTAGAGCTAATGCTGAGTTTTACCTCCAAGAAGTGAGATATGCTGCTGTATCTATGGAAACCCTTGTTCTTAGTGCACTTCCAAAAGATTAATTTACACCTTGGCCCCAGGCATGGTGGGTAGTTGCCAAGTTATGGATAATCAACCTGTTATTTTGAAAAACTATTCAGTATAGTATCATGTCAGTTACGATCAGTTATATATCACTTTCTCTGATACAACTGTTGTTTGTTGACAGAACACAGACCAGCTCCAAACAAGAAAATCCGAGTAAGAAAGCATTTAACAAAAGGAGAAGAAAGAAGAGAACTCGTTAAAGCCATCATCCCTTCCTGCAGGAATGCTGTATAATATGGATTTTGGTGTACTATTACTGAGCTTATTTTTGTAGATAATTTTATTTCCTCCCCTCCCAATACCCGGTTCTGCTTTTACGTATATGTTGAAACGATTGTACACAGATTTAAATTAAAAAATGGTGCCTGTAAGTGAAATCCTATGTTTGACATCCAGCTGCAGCAAAAACTCACCTAGTTCAGCTTTCTTCACAGGGGAAAAATCAATGTGCTGTGATTAAAACCTTCTTTGCCCTGTTACTCCACACCTTAGCCTGTACTCAAACCACTTTATGTGAAAGTCACCAGGAATGGATGGATTTAAACAAACCAGCACAGAACTTCAGCAGTGGAGTTTCTTAAAAAGTTTAATTAAATATTACATGCAACAGACAGGAATGCTTCTTGAACTATAGGCGAAGAGTTATGCTCTGAGTTTAGGATCAGGCAAAACAGAGAGACGAGGAAGATTCCAAAATACCCGATGATCTGGGTGCTTTGTTTGCAAACAGGTGACACTGGAAACATACACATATTTACAGAGTGAAGCAGGGCTATTTTACAGGTGACCTCAGTGTTACATGAGCTGTGAACAGGAGAGAAGTTACTGTTGCAGATTGTACCTTCTCCAAATCAGGTTAAGAGCTTCATGTAAAAAAGACCAAAACTATATATATATATAAGAAGTTGCTCCCAGCCAGGCCAAAGCTTGAATCAAGTTGTGCTCTTTCAGGGACGGACCAGCACACAAAACCTCTTCTCCAGGAGCTAAACCAGTGCAGTGTCAGTTCTTCCAAAAAACCCAAAGTCACTGTCCTGAGTACAAAAATGGGTGAAGATGCAGTTCCTTCTTAGTACCGTAGTACCACGAGACTGTTAACTTCTTCAGAAAAATTAACAGTATTTTTTGCACTGCTGTTTATCTCCACACCTAACATCCCTATATTCCTTAGAGCCTTTAGTTGGAAAGGATTACAAGGTAACCTGGATAGGCTTAACAGTAGTACAATACAAACTGGGATATTTTGTTCAAAGCTTAGAAGCAAAAGCTGGAATTGTCCCATATTAACTGTGGAAAATGAGGAGGTGGAAAAAGATAGCACTTAATGGCAGAAGCAAGGGCTGCCCTGAGGAAGGAGGAACGTTGTCATGCTGGGCAGAGATGCCAGCCCCTGACTGGAGATTTTTTGTTAGGCTGCAGAGGAAGTAGTGTTGATAATGGTCAAGGTAAAGCTCAGGGAGAGTGGAATAATTTTTCTCTGTGCTATGGGAACAGTAAGGGAAGAAGTTCCATTGGAGCTCGAGCACAGCTCTTTGATTAAGCACTGAATTAATAATAAAACCCACTGAAGTCTTTTCACTTAAGTACTGCTACTTGCTCTTTTTCTGGAGGAAATAATTCATAGGCTTCCTTTAAATTACCTCTCCAATGTTTATATTTCTGTGTTCTTGGAATACACCGCAGAAAGGAAGACAGAACCCAGTTTCCCAGGAAGAGCACTGCAGCCTGTTATCTTCAAGTAATTGCTGCCAGTCAGCCTTGCCAGTTACCCTTCCAAGGTCACAGACAGTGAAAAACACATTCCTCCCTGTATAAACTCCTTCTCCTGCAAGGATAAAGTGTTTCCAACCCCAAGCACCAGACATGATACATGGCACAGGCTGTCCCCAATCCATTTCGGCATTTCAGTAAACCCACTGAAATTAATTTAAATGAAGGCTGTTGGCCAATGAAATGTGGTTCTTCATTAACCATTAGAACATGCATAAAAGTCCAAGTGCATCCTAAGAAGCTCAGACTGGCCAAAAAGGCTACTCCTGCTGCATATTTTGACCAGATTTTTGACCACCAAGTTGACTCGAGGTGGTTCAGGGAAGGCTCAGGCAGGAGCACAAGGGTGGGGCAGAGCACTAACTTTGTAGTTTGCTGAGGTGAAATACAGAGTTCTTTCTCGTTGAGGCCTGCTGCTCATCCTGACAGAGAGATGACGACTTAAAAAATTATTTCAAGTAGCCCACACCCTAACAGCTGTTGGGCATCTGTGAGGAGGAGTTTGTACTGCTGGGTGCCCAGATAACCAGAGAGACAGCGCTGACTCGAATTCAAGTCAAAGAGCAACAGGTTTCACAAGGAAGCCCTTTCCAAAAGGCTTTAGAAACGAATGGCAGTTTCAGATGGCAGTACTGCCCCTCAGTGATTTTAAGCTATTGGCAAGACCACTAACATCAGATACAAAAAGTGTTTATTAGCCAACCTGGAAATGGCTCAATTCAGCCCACTTCGCTGCTTTACATGCAAGCAACAGCAGGTACAGGGCAGCATCATCCATTTACACAGGCTGAAGGTAAACATCCACTCAATCTAATGCTGATTCAATGCCACTTTGCTCATGTAACAGTTCCAGAACTAGGGAAAAATATGGCACATTTTTGATGTGTGCCACAGAGGAGCTCCTCTCAAGTGTGAGGGGCACACAGAATTCATACTGCTCTGCATGCAGCCCATCCGTGCCAGAAGACGTTCCCTGCCCTTGAGGGCACAGAGCAGCAGTTCACCCACTGCAGTTTAATCCCTCCACCACCCTAAAGAGACAAGCAGACTGAGGACTGATTTTCTCAGTAGGCATCAATGGACTTTTGGGACAGCCAACACATCAGTGGGAACTCCACGGGTTTAGATTAGCATCAGTTTTACACTTGGACTAGAAAATACCAACAGCAAGAACATTTTCTGCGTTGCGGAAGCGCGAGGTATGAACTGGTGCAGGGGGTTTTTAACTGTGCAGTCCCTGCAGCAGAGCATTCAGCCTTTCCCCCGATGAAGACTACATTATACAGCTACTGGGGCACGTCCTAAAGAGCCTCGTGAGCCGGTTCCAGCAAGGAGTTCTCCTCGTGGCCATAGAGTTTCTTCCAGTCTTGTAGCCATTAAGGCACGTTTTGGATCTATGCTAAGTCTCAGTTTAAACTAGACAGTATAAAAATGCTACTGATACTCTGTGGAGACCAAGTCTTTCTTACCCAGAAGGAGAAAAAGCCCTACTATAATAATGCACTGCTAATATTAACATTTAGTCTATAATTAGATAAGCAGTCTCAGACTTCACGTGGCCTGAATGGTTAATTCTGTGCCTGAAGAGAACATTTTGATAAAAACACAGCTAAAACTCTTAACAAGATTGCATGTACAAAAGATTTACATTAAAACCACATGAAACTGAACTTCATAATTGAAGTCATCAAAGCCTGTATTCGTATTCTGAGTGATCATATCTAGGATCCTGAACCATGTTTAAAACTGTACATCATTTCCTGGTAATATACATCTCTTAAAAAGATCAGTCTCTTGATTATTACAATAAGTTTAGTGTGTCTGGTGGGTCAATGAGCGATACTCCATGGTACCTAGAGAGGGAACAAAAGAGGCAGGATGTCATCTTGCTCAAGTGCTCTTTGCATTAAGAAAGAGCAGCATTAACTGCAGCAAAGAACATTTCCCAGCAGGCAGGGAACATTCTGGGGCTTGTTGGCTGCCATGCCCCACACAGATTTTTAAGAGCATCAGGTATCACCAACTGTAGGAACGTCAAGAAAATTCCTCCAGTTTCTACCTGACAGTCCAGGCAGCAACAGAACACCAAGTATTGCTTGACAAGCCATCGTGCAAAAACCCCAGTGAGTCTTGTCACCATCTCACTGAAGAATTTGGTTAGCTGAGTCTGCCTGAAGACTCAAAAGGTAACATCCCACACCCACATCCTGCCAGGCCGGTACATGTTTGGACAACTCAGAGGTTAACACCTCTGCAGAATACTCACTTGGTACTCTTGTACTTTTCCCTTATGGACTGTTGTGTGTGCTGGGCCGCTCTGAGGTAGGTGTTGTGGAGGTCTATGAGGCAAGGTTTGATGTCTTCAAGGGTGTAGCCAGTTACTTTGCACAGGGATTCAGGCTGAGGGGAAAAAAGAAAAGGAGAGGAACATTTGAATGTTGCTGTTCACTTAACACTGATCACCAGTGGTGGAGCTTTTCACTCCATCCCATTTCTCAAATGCCACAGGCTGGAGCAATCCCTGATTAGCAGCCTAGGAGCACAGAGGGGCTGCAATTCCTGCAGCCCAGGCCCAGCACTCAGAGCTGTGTACAAATACACTGAACACACACAGAGGCCTGTGAAGGCACATGTTGGAGTGCTACATACCCAAGATTGCCCAGTGAGTGTGTAGTCTGCCAGAAGAAATGCTGCAGCAGCAATAACTGATGGCAAGTACTTCAGGTAAGGATCAGCATCAATTAGACTCAGCTCACCCAGGTACTGCAAGGGAAATGAAAGAAGGAATCATCTGCTTCCAAAAGTTAACAGTTGCTTCAGAACCCTAACTTGAGCTTCCAATCCTACCACTAGTTGGAATGACACCTTTCAATTTCCACTTTTTAAATTTTTTTTTTAATTTTCACTTACTTTCTCTTTAAGCATCTCCTGCTGACTACTGTCAAACAGCATTCCCAACACATGGTTTTCCCAGCACATTTTATATTTAGGGATATATAAGAACTAGAGGGAAGAGTGTAGTCAGGTCTGACCTATTCACAGTGAGACAAAGGCTTGTGTTTAGGACCTCTGGTACCTACCATACAGCTAGGATTTACCACAACTTCAGCTGAAATGTTATCTGTGCTCTGCTCTAGGAATTAGCCTCTGGATTTAGAGCTTGCTGCTGGTTGAGGGGAAAACCAAACCAAAAGTCCTTTTTTGCCAAAGTGTGTGTGGGGGTAGATGTGGCAGCTGTAGATAAGAGAGAGGGAAACATCTATCTAGCAGTGCAACAAGCCCCAATTTAAAGTTCATTAATCTCTGCCTGCTCTGAGTAAGGGTGCGTGCTTGAGCCAGGCCAAGTGCCAGCCTCTGATAAGAATGCAGCATCCCAAACAGAAAGTGGCAGTAGGAATGTTAGTTTCCAGCAGTGGGGCACCACTTCTGGAGGGGCACAATTCATAAGGTGTATATATGTTATATATATATATATATATATATATGTATATATGGCATATGTTATATATATATATATGTATATGTGTGTGGGTGTGCAATAAATATCTGCAATAAAACTCTCTAATTATGTGGGCTGAGCTAGTAATTCTTACTTACCATGGACAGG